TCCATTTTTCTGTTCTATTTGGTGTCTCAATGGATTGCAGGATTCCTGGCTGCATTGGTGAGGGAGGTTGTTTGTATCCTACTCATTCAAACCCTAATCTGTTCCTGAAACACCCACACTGAGACATCCAGACGTAATGTTTTACAGGCAATCTAAGCATCTGTTAGCACACTCAAGTTACATATAATATTAACCATCACATAGACTAACAAGAATTAGAAAGGTCAATATGTCAAGTGTGGAGAGGGAGTGGATTAAGATCTACATGCATTAGCGTATTACCCATGGGAGAGGAGACTGAAGCAGCCATTTTCTGAAGAGCAATCTGTCATTACCTGAACATATTACGTACGGACACACTAAGTGTCACAGAAAAAATATGAAGATTCATAACTTTGGAGAGGAGAACTTTATTTTTTGTGGAGAGTCAGAAGCTCCAGGGAGGAAGCTCAGCCTCTGGTTGAAATCAGAAATCAAGCACTTTGAAGGAGGGAAGCATGAGACAGAACTTATGCTGAACAGAGTGGACAAGAATACCTGTTCAATAGATTTTAGAGGCAGTTATGAATATTCTCCAAGGGGAGATGCACACATGTACAATAAGCAAACATGCATGTCACATACATTTCATGTTCACTTTGGGGCTGGATACAACATTTAACTGCATTCCAGTTAGGCCCTATGCATTGAAAGGTAAAGCAAGGACACAAAGACACTCAGTAATCAGCCTCTATAAACTGGCCAGAACTGCTCCATGGTTGTGGTCTCTAGTCAGGAGAAAGTTACTGAAATCAGTATCTTGTCCAATCAAAGGTACAGTTGTTGTGGCATGTGGAATAGTGGTTCAGTTAGTCAGCATATGGCAGTCAGTGAGCAACAGTTCTGTCAGTATTGCTTATCACCAGGCCAGTGCGTGTTTAGCTGCTAGAAAAAAAGAAACACCTTGTGGCACCTCAAACCTAGTTCATACTTTAAATGTAGGGGTACATGATGGAACCCTTGCCTGGAATGGCCTTTGGTCTAGTTTATAATTTGGTATCTTTTTACAAGGAAAGGTCCATTCCATCAGCTTTATGATGTCATTTTCAACACAAACAATTGCTCTCCTGAATAGTTATCCTAGAGAAATTCTTAAACAGGTCCACACAAAGGAACAAAATGAGGATGCACATTGCTAAGCTGCCTTAGCCCAGAAGTCCCGGACTGAGAAGGTGGATAGGTCAAACCCAGGGATGCACAATATTAAGGAGGAGGCAACAGCTGATAGGGGCAGTAGTTCAGAGGTAGCGCATAATGGATTTTAAATCATAGTGCTCAGTGAAAAAAGCATAAGAAATAAGATGCTCCACTTAAGCTGAAAATATAAGAACTCACAACAGTACACATTTCAAAAGAATCCACTCAAGCAAACAGATGCACTTTAAAACCAATGGACTGGTTGTAAGGTAAGCATAGATGTAGCATTTGAGGTAGGAAATGGAGAAAAAGGGAACATACAAGCAGATAAATGAGGGACTGAAATGAATCAGTGATGTTAATGTGTAAGGAAGTGCAGGGAAAGATAAAGATCTCTTTACTCTAACATTTGAAATCCTAACAGAGTAAAAACAAAAAATGTAGAAAAAGAGGGAGGGAGAGGGGGAAGGGAAGTGGAAACAGAAGAGGAAGGAGCAGGAGAGGAGGGAGAAGAAATGCAGCTTCTTTTGCATGGGGAACACACTCTTCCAGTTCTCCTGGTCTTCAATATCTACAGACCTATGGCCACCTCTAGACACCATTGACAACCCCTACCCTACTTGTGCTGGTGGCCTTGAAGCTGTGATATGTGCTCTAGAAGCAGTATGTGTTACCTGGGAAATAAGGAAGGATGTAAAAAACTCTGCAGAGTTTCATATCAATGAATTTTCACTGGAAGATCTGGTCCAGCTATGACAGCAAGTAGGCACATGTGGTCACAGTCTTCCCTGGCAACACTGAAGACTACAGCCACCAATATTTAGGTAGTAAGAGGAACAGGTAAGGTGCATCTCACCTGTACCTGCCATCAAGGGATGTGTGCTCAACAATGATATTACTCACCCAGGGTGATTGAATAATCTTTGGAAACAAAGGCTAGGATGGGAATTGTTGAGATGCAATAGGTTTTCTCCTAGAAGAAATCTGATAAATATCCCACTGGGACTTGTGACATTTTGGGGGGTAAATCAATACTTTCAACACATTTTGACTGAAAATTGCTATCAATATACAAGGAGTGACTTAAATCTTAGTCCCAAATATTAAGCATACAGAAGAGGTATAAGAAAAGGAAATGTCCACTCTAATTGGAATTAATCTAAATGCTTTTCTAAAATTCCACTTAAAAGTCAATGGTCAAACTTCAGTTATTAACTTTTCATTTCTGTCAACATGTTGGTGTCAAAAGTCCTTTGTAGGTTCTTAAAATTAAACACTATTTTCTAAAGCAGCAATTGGGAGTGAAACATGGAGAAAGTGGGAAAGTTTCAAGGTTACTTCTTCACTGCAATTCCTTTTTTCTGGGAGTATATTAGCTAATGCTCTAAAGATGTGGTTCAGGACAGAACTCTAAAGATAAGCACAGAAGACAATTTGAAAGGTAACTTATTTGAAATAGAAGAAAGCTCAAAGAAGGAATCGAAGTATAAGCCAGGTGAAAAACCCAAATGGAACACCCTAAAAGGAAAAATAAAAGCAATATAAGTTCCCGTTAGCCTTATGTCATTTGCATAAATGAAATTGTCATACAACCTTCTGTAACAACAAACTTTATTTGACCACAAAACTGGTTATATATATTTTTTCTGAAAGCCATCCATTAATAAAAACATAATTATATCTTTTATAGGAACCATCTGGTGTCAGCAGATATTAAGCTTGATTTATTTTAGAGAACATCGCAAAAGAACGGAAAATGTGGAAACAAGTTATCGTGTCCCCTTTCTTGAGTACTGCTCTAGACATATAGATTTTGGCAAAACACCATCTCCTCGTCTCTTTGTTACCCACCTTCCATACTACTTGGTTCCAAGAGGCCTGAAGGACAAAAAAGCCAAGGTAGGGCATAGAAATACTATTACTGCTAAAAAGAACTGCCCTCTTTCCTAACCTCCTTGTACCTCCTTACTCTGACACCACATTCATTCAGCTGGTAGCAAACAGCAAAGGATGAAATTGAACGTATTTTACATACTGTCATTTTCAGCACACATCTGCATTCTTCTGTTATAATATTTAAATTTGATTTTATACCTTGTCTCTTTCCTAATTGTGTAGGTAATAGAGCTAATTTAAACATTAATAGGCATCTATACATACACACACCACATGAGAACTCCTGTCTCTCCTATACCTCTAGCCCCCTCCCAGGTTTCCTTTGACACTCCCAACCTAATTCCCAAGCCCCTTTCTCCCTAAAGACCTAGTTATTTTAATCACTTCCGTACCAGCATCAACTATAGCTGACAGTCACAGATGAACGCAAATAGCCTAGAGTCGACTATATCCAACAGCCACAGATAAACGCGCACGGCTGAGTGTGGACTTTAGCTGACAGCCGTGATATGACTTTTCTAATTTTTCATTTATCAAAATAAAATTGTGAACATTTACAAATAATGTAATAAAAATATATGTATATGTTACCAATTCTAATTTACATTACAAGTAAAGTTGCCTGTAAAGTAAAACAAGCTTTCAGTGCTTTAAAGCTTTCCTCATCACACAAGAGCAAAACAGATTCGTCATCAATTTACAGCACAAACTATCATACGGACTATGAGTGCTGGCTGTGGGCAAGGTTTCGTGGCCAGTGAGCATTGTACCGAAGTGGTTAAACGTCAAGGGAACTTAGAACAAGTCACTCTTCTGTATAATGACATTCTCTCTCTTTGTACCTTCCTCCCTGGATCAGTGACCACCATTTACTGAAAATGTCAGCACTTGGCTCTCTACCTTTATCTCTAGCTCTATGCCTGTCCCTCATGTGATTGAACAAGTTCATGGGAATTATCTTCTGGCAGAGCAAGACAAGGCAGAAACTAACAAGGCACCTGGGCTCAACATGTAAGGAGGCCCATGCTTTGAGGTTTGTGCAACTGCAGGATCTGCCCAGGCAAGAGCCTGAGAGTCAGGGCCTCCTAGAAGTTTATAGCTCAGGCTCTGCATTTGCCTAAGCCTGGTCCTAACCCTGCCCAGCCTCCTGGTGTGCATTCTTAGACTCCTGTAATCTTTTCCTTCACCCACCTCAGCCACTGTCTTCTATAACACATCTTGCTCTATTGGCAGCCCTGATTGGCATCTGATATAATATATATTTAGGTATTCATTTATTTTCTATCTTTCTGGCCAAACTGTAGCATCATCAATCATGACAGAGGTATAGGTGGGCTCACTGCTGTGTTCAGAGTGTGTAGAACAGTGCCTGGCATGTGGTTTGGTTGAAAGAATGAATCGAGTAATCACCTGAACTTAAATTGTGACTTCAAGCCCCTGGTTATCTGGCTTCCACCTCCTATGATTTTTATTCCTTTTAGGGTGCTCCCATTGTAACCAACTTCTGGCCTATGACACAGGAAAATGAGTTTACTGCGGATCTTCTCAGGAAAGTCTCTTCACTCTTTAAAGAGGCCTTGGGGAAGAAGGAGCAGGGGTGGGTCAGGCGTGGAGGAGAGTCAACTTGTCAGAGTAGAAAAGCAGGGAGACCATAACTCCCTGTTGACAATACTCAGATGATGAGTTAACTGAATCTGTTCCAAAGTAATCTTGGGCTTTCCTATTTTGTGAGAAAATGCTATTTTCTTGCTATGCAGAAAACATTACTTGGATTTTCTGTAACACACAACAGCATGCTGAGGCATTGCCCCTTCCTCCTTCCTCCTTTCTCCTCTGTCCAGCCTCCCAGTGCTGATGATTCCAGATATTTTTCCTCTCTTCTTCTCTTTCCATGTGCAGTTAATTGATAGGTAATATTATCCATTCACATCATGTTAAATACAATGTATATCTAATTGACCTCTTTTCTCAATTCTAGACTGACATGAAATATTTAATATGTTCTATTGTATATGTAATAGACATGCCAAGCTTGAAATATCCAAACAGATTATTTTATTTTTTTTTTTCACAACTCTCCACTTTCCAAGTTCCTTGTGCCAATAACATGTGTAATTCTACAAGATGGATAGGATCAAGCGTCATTGCAGAAGTGATTCAGGGATACTATTAACACCTTTCCATGTATCATTTTTATGTAAGCAAATGGATGAATGACAAGAAGCCATTCTTAGACCCTAAGAATCACAGCAAGGAACTTAAAGAAAGTACTTTTATTCAAGACATAAAGGATCTGTTCCTTTCTAGCAACGTCAATAGTTATTGATATACCATGGCTGAAGGACTATCCCTCAATGCACTGGGAGACACTCAGGGTTGAGGAGACCTGCAAATACACCCTGCATCCATCACCTCACTTCGCAGCATTAGGGGCTAGCTCCAGGCTCTGCCCAGAGAGGCTGCCCATGGATGAAAGCATCTTTGTATCAAATTTGAAAGTTTTCCAGTGATTTAACTAAAGTTATAGATTTTATTTTAAAATAAAGAAGCAGGCCTACAATTTTATCAGAGCCCTGAAATACTCTGTGAAAGGATAGACTGCGGCAGTTAGTTGCAACTTAGAGTAGATATTGATGATTTTTTGCATTCCAATATGATTGACTTGCTTAATTGTTATTTGGAGTTAATTTATTCTGGTAGTTTCTGCTAGACAATTAAAAAAAAATCTTCTAGGCTGGTCTGAGGGCAGTAGTGTTTGCAAATAATTGATCACATCCAAGGTTCCGGTTGTAAAATGTTCCTTTGTTCTTTCTCCACTCTCACTGTTTCACTTGACTTGCCAAAATAAATGAAACAACAAAAAATAAACAAAATCCCCACCAAATTCTACATTTCTGGATAGTTTCAAAACAAAAAATACTTAGAAATTAATTTCTGTGTGCCAAACACTTGAGTTTGACTCAATAACGATACACAAATAAAAATTAGGTAAACATTACATTAAAAGATGAATTAAAAAACCATAAATTTTACAATATGAGTTAAACAATTTTAACTCTATATGTCCTCTAATATGTCCTCACTAATTTTTATAGATTATGAAGCATTTCCACATGCATTAGTGAGTCAGTGGATTTAGGGGCAAAAGAAAAAAGTTGCTCTGTCTGCCTGAGGAAGATAGAAGAAGTAACTTCTGAGATGGGTCTTGAATTGGAAAGCACTAAATATAAAGGAGAAGCTATGAATATTGAGGACACACTTGGGGAATTATAAAAGCTAAAAGTAATGGGTTTAATCCAATTGAAATGTATTCTGTAGAAAATATGATAAATGAAAGCAATCAGAAACAATAATTCCTGTTTTTCTTTGCAGATTATATACGTATACAGAAATCCTAAGGATGTTATGTGCTCATATTTTCATTATTTAAACACATATCCAATATTTAAAGCTGCGGACTCTATTGAGGCATTTATGAAACAATATTTGGAAGGGAAAGGTAACTGATATTATTACCCAAATAATGTATTTGCTGTGCTGTGGTGAGTTTTCAAGCTTTATGAATTTGAAGGGTGGAAAAGATGAGGTGAAAATACAGTAGAATGAGGGTGATTGGTCAATTTACCAACCAGTTGGTAACATTAACTAGGAGGTCCAAGTCCTGCCATTCATGTCAATTCCTCTAGTCTCACTCACTCTCCAGTGGTTGCCTAGATTAAAAAATAATTTACCATGAAAAGAGTGAGGACATATTAGAGTATTTCAGTAACTTAGAGGGGTGTGCCTGAGAGTTTGTTTTCCCTTAGTTTTTTTAAGGATCCAACATAGGTAGATAAGAAGGAGCAAGGCCTTTGGGGACAGAGATGATAATATCACACAGGGGGTCTAAACTTAGGTTCTGTGTCACTGTGCAGAGCAGAAGTGACTCCTCTGGGACACTATGGTGGCACACAGAGTGGAGAAGTGTGTGTGTGTGTGTGTGTGTGTGTGTGTGTGTTTTGGGACAGGAAGAGGAGCAGGAAGGAAAAAATTGGTTTGCTCAGCAGCTCTCTACTTTTATTCTATCCTCACCCCACATTAGGATGCTTTCTGTTCATACAAACTATATTTTAAAAGACTAACTTGTCTTTGAGTTTGTTTGTTTCCTTATCAAATCTAAATGCTTCTCCAATAACCACATGGCAAGGAAAATCTAGAGACCAGCAAGAGAAATCTGTTTCCTCTTTGGTTACTAAAGATTCCTACACCTAATAACCTGTTCAACCCTCTCAACATATTTACTTAAGTATTTACCTCTTCTTCCTACAGTGTTAGGAAGCCTTTGGTTTGACCATATCAGAGGTTGGTACAAGCACAGAAACTACTTCAATATTCAGTTTATGATGTACGAAGAGATGAAGAAGGTGAGATGAGCTCGCGTTTGTGCTTCGATCTACGCTCTAACTCAGCTTGGCCTAATGAATTCATAGTTCTTGCCCAGAACACCCAAAGAACAATGTGGAATTTGATATCCAAGACTAAGTTTAACATGAGGCTTTTTTCCAGTATCACTCACTTTATCTGTGTTGTCTTCAGTTATCCGTTGCATAACAAATTAAATGAAAACATCGTATACAGCAGAGCAGCTCCCTCACTGGAATCCATTGAAAGTCATCCTTCGACTAAAGGGTTTGTAATGAAAAAAGAAAAGTTATATAAACAAGAAAATGTTTATGTTTCCTTGGCAAGATTCTTGCTCCCAGGAACAGTCAACTATAAGTGGGTTAAAATACAAGAACATCTATTGTTTAGTAACTGACATGCACAGGTTGCCTATCCTGAGGCTCGGGATGGCACCTCAAGGATGTCAGGAATGTGTCCACCATTTTCTACCTTTCCATATCATCATATTTGCTACCCAGTACATTTCTCCTCATAATTATAAGACAGTTGTCAGGGCTGCAAACTCAGTTCCTCATCTAGAAGCATCTGATGAAAGGACAGAGGGACTAGGTCCCTGGTTTTGTTCCCACCTTCTCTATAGGATGAAAGCCAATCTCAGAAGCTTCTTACATTTCACTTCCTCTTCTGTTTCAATGGCCAAAGTTGGGTCTAATATGTGTGTCCACATGACCATTTTTCAGCCTCCTTACAGTCTTATCCCCCCATCTCTCCACGTATGTCTCCTACTTTCTCATCCCAGGCCTGTTTCCATCAACCTCTGTGGATACCAGTTTTCTAACTTTTTTGTTGCCTGATATCTCATATATACCACACAACTATAGTACTGTGTATAGTACTTTGTCTTAATTCTATTCCACAATCAGTCTCTCGTTCTAGATCTTGGATTCAACTAGAGCACTCATTTTCTTCCTGTCCCAACAACACCCGGGACTTTGCCTGACAGTAGAAACTTTGCTAAGTGAACACAGAGAAAATGAAAAATGTGCAATTAACCTAATGAAACTCTCAAAGAGCAGACAAATGAAATATTTACCAGTAAGTTATAGAAAGTCACGTTATACTGACCAACCCCAAACTTACAACTAGCTGAATTGCCCATAATTTTCACTCTCACAATGATATTTAGCTGTGACACTTCTATATTTCTCCTTTTTTATAATTAGCATAATTTAAAAACACTGTGATTTGTTTCAGGATCTCAGAAGTTCTGTGTTAAAGCTCTCCAAATTTCTGAGTAAAGACCTGAGTGAGGAGACCATGGATGACGTGGTGAGACAGGCCTCATTTGAGAACATGAAGGATGATCCGCTAGCAAACAATGAAAACATGCTCTATAGGCACGTGGGGTCAAAACTACAAGAAGGCCATTTCCTTCGCAAAGGTGAAACTCAGCAGTGAAGTAGTGAACAGTTGTTTTCCACTGTGTGGAAAAGAGTGGTGTGGATAGAATAGAGTACAGCCCCAGGGTTTCCTGCTAGAGTTTCAAACAGTGGAGCCCTCTTGGCCCTTTCCCTTCTCTAGTCAGTTTCTATTACATAGTATCTGCCTGGTGCTCTCCATGCCACTACATTGTCTGGTTTCTAAAGGGTATGTGATGGATAACCTAAAATCTCAAGGTCTTCTATATGGCCCTGAAAATCTGCTAGCACAGTGCCTACCTGCCACCAAATGGATATTCACTTAGGATTACCCCACCTGAACAAGGCCACAGCACCTGACAATGAAATATTGAGAAGCCTATTCGTCATCACATGTTCTCTTGCATCTCCATGATTTATCTGGAACTCTGACTGTTGTGAAAGAACAACACACATTGATTCTTCTTTTGTTATTGGGATGACTATAACATGTCTTTTATTAAACTACTATAACACTTTAAAAATTTTATAGATACATTTTATTTATTTGGCCTCTGGGGAATGAGTTTTTAGAATACATGGATTCTTCATACAATTGCTAGATTTAAAAATATTAAAATATTTTATTACTTTACTCTACCATTCCATATTATATTTCGTATTTATTAACATAGTATTGCACAGAATTATAGACACAGATTTAGTACTTGATAATTTCATACAGTTATATACCATATGTCAATGAACAATAAATATTAGGTTTGTATTTCTCTAAGTTAGTATTTCCTTGCATTCCTCTCTTTGGTATGTCCTTTCCTCTTCTGTTGAAATACCTGAAGCACTGGTAGCACTGAGTTGACCAGAAATGGGACATGCTCATTGCCATTAGGCCAAATATGTCCTACTGTGTTCCAGATGCTCAGGCCACTGCTCACCTCCGTTAGCACTGCACTTGCATTTTATATTTGAAAGAGGTCATATTTTGGGGTTTCTGTGTCCCTAGGAAACCCTGACAATAAGAGACTGATATGGTTATAACAAATATAAGAGTGAGCAAAATGTCTTTGTGGAAGTGAGCCATGTGTTTATTTAAAAGAGACTCAGACAGGTCTGTCCTTGATTTTATCCACCTCATCATTGTTTGCTGTGGCTTTAGCGGTCCGGCACTAGGTGTTTGTTTTCTTAGTTCACTCAGTGTTTCAGTGTTTTTTTTTTTTCAGTGTGTTTTCAGCACAACCTATTTTTCAAATCAATATTTCTTCTTTTGCCTCTCTTCGTGTCCGCTACTATTCCTCATGACAACTGTGTGTCTTTTGAAGTTTAGTTTAAGGCCAAGTCTCAAGTTAATGGGGTAAAGATGGAATGATTTCAGCTCTGCCATTATAAACTGTATGATCTTGGGCTGTTTTACAAAATCTCTCTGAGCATTGAAGTCTTTACCTGTAAGTGTTATTTCAGTGATGACTTATCTTACAGAATTTTTAAGATACTTTTGTAGAATATAGAAATCAATGTGATGTTGGAACAAAACAGTGACCAAGTTGTAGCAATTTGCAATTTTCCAAGTGCTCACACTGAGAATGTGGGTGATGATTCTATCTAATTATAGTAAAATTACAATGATAAGTGTGTTTATCAGCGGTATGCAGCTAAAAGAAACAACAGTGATATAGCATCTCTTGTATTTTCCTGGATACAGCTGGAACCCATTCTACTAAGTGAAGTATCCCAAGAATGGAAAAATAAGCACCACATGTATTACCAGCAAATTGGTTTCACCAATCAACACCTAAGTGGACATATAGGAATAACATGTACTGAGTGTTGGGCAGGTGGGAGGGGGAAGGAAGGGATGGGTATATACATACAAAATGAGTGCAATGAGCAGCATCTGGGGCAGGGGTCCTCAAACTTTTTATTCAGGAGGCCAGTTCACTGTCCCTCAGACCCCTGGAGAGTGTGAACTGTGGCCCCGGGACAAGTTGGCTGCTAAGCAGGACAGGCAGCGTGGCAAAAACACCCGGAGGGCCGGATAAATGTACTAGGTGGCCCCCATATGGTCTATGGGCTGTAGTTTGAGGATGCCTGGTCTGGAGGATAGACACGCTTGAAGCTCTGACTCCAGTAGTGAGGGTGGACTAGGGCAATATACGTGACCTTAATATTTGTACCCCCATAATATGCCTAAATATAAAAAAGAAGAATCTTAGCCAAGTTGCAGACTGCCTTTGAGCTTAATGGGCATAAAAATAATAATGGGAATGGGAATGGGAATAACGTATTCCAGAGTTATATGTTGGTTTTGCCCCTCAGTAGATGACAAAACGTCACTGAAGCAACTTCTCTGATATTTTCTACCAGGTACCATTGGAGACTGGAAAAATCACATGACTGTAGAGCAGAATGAAAGATTTGACATGATTTTCCAGAAGCAGATGAAAGACTTTCCATTGCAGTTCATCTGGGATGTAAATAAAACACAGAATTAAGCTCAGCACACAGAATCTGAAGAAAGCACCTTCAGCAGGAAATACATTAATTCTTACACTTCAATCTTTGACTCTGAACCATGTTGTAAAATCTCACTCATTAATGTATATTAATTCCTTTATATTTTTGCCATGTGGAGAGCTTCCTATGTCCAGGCATTCCTTCTTTTCTGATCCACTGAGGATTCTTCATCCCTTTTTGGAATAAAATCATAGGCAGCTGTACTCTTTACTTTTACATTTACTTACAAATTGATTATGATCTTCCTGACATATTCAGAAATTTAATTTTATCTAATAACATGAATCAAACATTCATTTCATGGCTTGTGTGGTTATATTTTACTTTGGTGGACTGTTATCTCAAATGTATTTAGGTATTCATGGATCATATCCAAATTTATTTGGTTATTATTCTCATGATGTAAGAAAAGTAGTCAGTTTTTTCTTCTTACAAATAACAAGTTGATGCAGCATCACTTATTGAATTGTCCACCATTTTAATAGTGCTTAAAATAGATGTTATTATATTCCCAAAAAATTGTGTGTACATATGTTGACTCTGTGTACATTGCTCTGCTTTGATTTCTTTTATCAAAACCATGGCCAATAAATATCTGAAATAATGTTATGAACTCTCATATATAATTCTGTTGGATATTTTCTCCTATTCTCTAGGTTGTCTGTTTTCTCTCAGGATAGTTTCCTTGACTGTGCAGACGCTTTTTATTTTGATCAGTTCCCATTTATTTAGTTTTATTTTTCTGTTGTTGCTACAAGTGCATTGCAGTCTTCTTCATAAATGCTTTGCCTAGGCCAATGCCTATAAGAGCTTTTCCAACATTTTCTACTAGAAGTTTTATAGTGTCATGTTTTAGGTTTAATGATGTTATCTGCTCTGAGTTGATTATTGTGAAAGGTGAAAGGTGAAAGGTATGGATTGAGTTTCAGTCTTCTACATGTGGCTATCCAATTTTCCCAGTATAATTTTTTGGAAAAGGATTATTTTCCACACTGTATGTTTTAGTGTGCTTTGTCAAAGATTAAATGGCTATATGAGGATGATTTTATATCTGGGTTCTTAATTCTGTTGCATTCCTCTATGTCTCTATTCTGTTGCCATTACCTTGCTATTTTAGTTATTATAGCCTTGTAGTATAGCTTGAAGTCTGGTAAATTGATGCCTCCCAATTTTTTCTCTTTGCTTAAGTTGGCTATTGCTAAATGCTGTTTTTTATGCTTCCATATGAAGCATAGAATTATTTTTTATAGATATGCAAAAAATGATTTTGGTATTTATTTGAAGAGGGATTGCACTGAATCTGTAGATCACTTTGGCCACTATAGACATTTTAATAATGTTGATTCTGTTAACCCATGAGTATGATCTGGTTTTCTACCTCTTTATGTTCTCTGCTCTTTCCTTATTCACTTTTTCATAGTTGTCCCTGTACAGGTCTTTCTTCTCTTTAGTTAAATATACTCCTAGGTATTTTATTTTCTTTGTTGTTATTGAGAAGGTTATTGAGTCTTTAATTTGGTTCTCAGTTTGACTGTTGTTGACATATAAAAAGGCTATTGATTTCTGTACATTTATTTTGGAAGCTAGAACTTTGCTGGATTTTTTTTTTTATCAATTTCAGTAGTCTCATGGCAAAATCTTTGGGGTTTTCTAGATAAAGATCACATTGTCAGAGAGAGTGATAGTTTGACCTCTCTGTCCCCATTTGGATGCCCATGATTTCGTTTTTTTTGTCTGATTGCTCTTGCTAGGACTTCTAGCACTAAGTTCAATAGAAGCAGTGATAGAGGGCAACTTGTCTGGGCCATTTCTAAGCAGGAATGCTTTCAATTTTTCCCTATTCAGTACTATGTTGGCTTTGAAAACTGTCATATGTGGCTTTTATCATTTTGAGGTAAATCCCATCTATGCCTATTTTGGTAAGCATTCTTATAAAGTGGTACTGAATTTTGTCAATCACTTTTTCTGCATCTATTGAGAGGAGCTTATGGTCCTTTTCCTTACTTCCATTTATGTGTTGAATTACATATATATTTTTTCATATGTTGAACCATCTCTGCAACACTGTGATGAAGCCCTGTTGGTCATGATGAATTATTTTTTTGATAAGCACCTGAATTTGGTTTGTTAGGATTGTGTTGATAATTTTTGTGTTTATATTCATAAGGGATATTGGTTTGTAGTTTTCTATTTTTGTTGCATCATTTCCTGGTTTTGGTATTAGGGTGATGTTAGCTTCATAGAACATGTGGGGGAGAATTCCATCCTGCTTGATGTTGTGTAATAATTTCTGCAGGATAAGGACCAGTTCTTCTTTGTAGGTCTGGTAAAATTTGGCATTCTCATGCTACACATTTGATAAAGGACTGACAACTAGAATCTATATAGAACCCAGGAAAATCAGAAAGAAAAATCTAACATACCCTTTAAAAATTAGGCAAAGTTTATGAGCAAATACTTTTTAAAAGGAGACAGAATAATGGCCAAGAAACGTATGAAAATAATGCTCAACATCTGTAATCATCTGTGAAATGCAAATCAAAACCACAATGAGCTATCACTGAACATCATCTAGAATGGCTTTCATCAAAAAGTCCCAAAATAATAAATGTTGGCAGGGATGCAGAGAGATAGGAACACTCATACACTGCTGGTGGAACTACGAACTAGTACAACCTCTGTGGAAAGTAATATGGAGATACCTCAAAGAACTACAAGTAGATCTACCATTTGACCCCATTACTGGACATCTACCCAAAGTAATAAAAGACATTTTATAAAGAAGTTATCTGCACTAGAATTTTTATAGCAGTGCATTTCACAATTGCCAAGATGTGGAAACAACCCAAGTGCCCATCAATAAATGAGTGGATTAATAAAATGTGGTATATGTATACAATGGTGTTCTACTCAGCCACAAAAACAATTGTGATTAGCACCTCCTGTATTATCTTGGATAGGGCTAGAGCCCATTCTGCTAAGCGAAGTTTCACTAGAATAGAAAGACAAGCACCACATGTACTCACCATCAATTTGCCATTAACTGAGCAACACTTATGTGCATATACAGTAGTAACATTCATCAGGTCTGGCATGGGGGGCAGGAGAAAAATATTTCCAGAAAAATATTTCATTTCTCTTCTTCATTTCTCCTCTTTCCCTTATTTAAAATTTTTTCCAGTTTTAATGTTTATGTGTACATAATATTAATAGTTGTATAAATTTATAGAGTACTGGATGTTTTGATACAAGCATACACTGTGAATTAATCAAATCAGGGCAATTGAGGTATCCATCTCCTTAGGCATTTAACATTTCTTTGTGTTAGGAACATTGCAATGCCACTCTAAATTATTTTGAAGTATATCCTATTTTATTGTTGATTGTTCTCACTTTTTTCTGCTATCAAACATTATTCATTTTATCTGAATATCTAACTATATTTTTATACACATTAACCTTCCCACTTTATCCTCCCATGCTCCCTACCTTTCCCAGCCTTTGTAATCTTCATTCTACTCTCCATATCCATGAGATGAATTGTTATTAATATTTAGCTTCTACCTATGAGCGAGAATACGTGAAATTTGTCTTTCTGTGTTTGGCTTATTTCACATAAAATAATGTTCTCCAGTTCTATCCATGTTTTTCAAAAGAAAAAATGTCATTCTTTTTTGACTATATAGTATTCCAATGTGTACATTTACCACAATTTATTCATCCATTTATATGCTCATGGACAGTTACATTGATTCCATATCTTTGTATTAATGAACAGTGCTTAAATAGAAATGTGAGAGCAGATATCTTTTCAATTACTTGAATTCTACTCCTTTGGATATACAGTCAGTAGTGAGATTGCTGAGTCATCAGTGAGATTGCTGAGTCATACAGTAGTTCCATATTCAAGTTTTTGATGAGCATCCCTACTTATTTCCACAGTGGTTGCACTAATTTTCATTCTCCCAGTCAAGTCCTAACCAGGCCTGACCTTGCTTAGCTTCTGAGATCAGACGAGTTTGGACATGTTCAGGGTGGTACGGCCATAGACTACATTCTCAACAACAGTGTATGAGGGTTCCCCTTTCTATACAACCTCAACAGTATATATAACTGTTGTCTATTTTCCATTTTTATGTCTTCTTTTTTTTTTTTTTTTGTTGTCTAGGCTAGAGTGAGTGCCGTGGCATCAGCCTAGCTCACAGCAACCTCAATCTCCTGGGCTCAAGCAATCCTCCTGCCTCAGCGTCTCGAGTAGCTGAGACTGCAGGCATGTGCCACCATGCCCAGCTAATTTTTTCTATATATATTAGTTGGCCAATTAATTTCTTTCTATTTGTAGTAGAGACAGGGTCTTGCTCTTGCTCAGGCTGGTTTCAAACTCCTGACCTTGAACAATCCACCCACCTTGGCCTCCCAGACAGCTAGGATTACAGGCATGAGCCACTGTGCCCAGCCTCTATGTCTTCTTTTGAGAAATGTTTATCCAGATCTTTTGCCCATGCTTTAAATCAAATTATTTGATTTTTTTTATTGAGTTGTTGGAGCACCTCATTTATTTTTGTTATTAATCCATTTCAGTTGAGTAGTTCACAATCATTTTCTCCCATTCTGTGGGTTGTGTCTTCCTTTCATTGATTGTTATCTTTCCTGTGCAGAAGCTTTTTTTAGCTTGATGTGATTCCATTTGTCCAATCTTGCTTTGGTTGCCTGTGCCTTGTGGGTGTTACTGAAGAAGTCATTGTCTAGACCAACATCTTCAAACATTTTCTGAAAGCCTTTTTTAGGAGTTTCATAAAGGCTTTAAGCCATTTTGATTTGATTTTTGTATATCGGGGGAAATAACGGTCTACTTTTATTCATCTGTATATGGTTAGCCAGGATTCTTAGCAGGATATAATGAAGAAACTCTCCTTTCCCCATTGTATATTCTTGACACCTTTTTCAAACTTTAAGTTCACTATAGATGTCTGGATCTCTTTCCAGGACCCTTTTCTGTTCTCTTGGTCAATGTGTCTGTTTTTATGACAGTATCATGCCATTTTTGTTACTACAGCTCTGTAGGAAAATTTGAAGTCTGGTAATGTAATTCCTCCAGTTTTACTCATTTAGCTCCAGATTTTTTTGGCTATTCTGGGTCTTTTGTGGCTCCATATAAATTTTAGGATTATGTTTTCTATTTCTGTGTAGATTGTCATTTGTATTTTAATGGGGCTTGCATTTTATTTGTAGATTGCTTTCGGTAGTATGTACATTTCAAGACCATTGATTCTTCCAATCCATGAGCATAGAATATCTTTCCATTTTTCTCTTTCCTCTTCAAATTCTTTCATCTATGTTTTATAATTTTCTTTACAGAGTTTTTTCACTTCTTTGGTTATGTGTACTCTTAGGTATTTTATTTGTAGCGTTTGTAAAGGGGATTACATTCTTGGTTTCTTTTTCAGATTATTTACTGTTGGTATTATTTACTGTTGGTAGATGCTAGAAATTTTTGTGTATTGATTTTGTATCCTGCAAATTTACTGAATTTGTTTAACAGTTCTAGTAGTTTTTCAGTGGATTCTTTAGGTTACTATAGATATAAGATCATGTCATCTGCAGACAAGATATTTTGACTTCTTCCTTTCCAATTTGGATGGTCTTTCTTTGTCTTGTCTTCCAGTGCTATGATGAGTTACAATGGTGTACATGGGCATCATTGTCTTGT